GAGAGAGAGAGAGAGAGAGAGAGAGAGAGAGAGAGAGAGAGAGAGAGAGAGAGAGAGAAAGAAAGAAAGAGAGAGAGTCGTGGTGTCTTGGCGCGATATGCGGCGGAAATCGGATGAACCGAGAGTGTCGACAGATAACGAACCCGAAACGAAACAATATATTTAACAAATGCGGCGAGATTTAATTGGTTCGAGGACAAGGAGACAAGGACCAGAATTGCGCGCGCGCAGTCTTTCCGGAAAACACGACAGGATCCAGAACGGACACAGCGATTTCTTGCTTCCATCAGGTGAGAGAGAGAGAGAGAGAGGAAAGGCACACACACACACTATAAAAAAACACACACACCACTCTGGCGCAACTCTTTTCCAGATTTCGTCATTTTACCTTCTCACCTGGCAGCGTAGTTTCCCCCCTTCTCTCCCACGCACCGCCGTCGTGACCTCTGTGTTACATTGACGGTCCGATGTACTTCGTACCGTTCGCGTCGTGGCTCGGACTTGACTCTACCGTCCGGCCTCGTTCTCCAAAAGGTGAGTAAAAAAGAAAAACATCACCATAGGTTTCCCGAGAGCCGGATATTTGAGTTGCTGCTGCTGCTGCTCTGCTGGTGCTGGTAGAGCATGTGTGTATGGGCGCACGAATTCGAGGCGTTTCGAGCGGTAACGTTCTCCTCCTCTCTCCCTGTCGGGTGTTGGGGACAAAGAGCCCGACTTTCCCAACCACCGGCATTTCGAGGGTCATCCGCGATCTGATTGCTGCCGCGCTGTGTGCTCTTTGCCGAACGCTGCAACATACAAATACGTCCACACAAGATCTCTGCAACAGTGCCCGCCGCTTTGTCGGTCTACATTCCGACACACTTTGATCCCAGAGAACAAAGAGACTTTCAGGGCAAGCAACAGCTGGGCATTTGGTGTGCGTCACTACAGCAGCACGCGTCTGCACCGAATTTCGCTGGAGATGGCGCAAGTCTTCCAACCGTTATACTTCGACAGCAGCAAGGGCCAGAAACACCCATTGCTGTGTAAACGTTTGCTCAACGATTGACTTGTACTGTAGTACAAGATCCAAAGCATGCATGCTTCACGGGTTCTCCCGTTGACGCTGTACGGTACGCCAAGCAAGTGCCGCCGCCGACCACCGATGATATCTTTATTTCGATCTTTGTTTGTCTCCCGTTCGCGTATTAGTGAGAACACAGCAACAACAAAATGTTCGGCGTGTTCCGCCCTCCTCTTGTTCTCGAAACTTCAATTACCAATTGACAATTACATGTCTATCGCCCATCATGTCGGTGATTGCATACGTTTGTCCTGCTGTGCAGTAGACACCCATACGTACGTCCATGGATGTAGTCTAATATGTAGGCCAATGCTGCACATTGGAGATCCGACCCGACCACAGGCCGTGTTGCTATCATGGACCCAGTGAGCTCGTTTCATGTACTTTGTTTAGACTAGTGCAGGAGTTATTTTCCCACAGGTTAGTTCATGGACTAACTTTCTTGCCACGTCAGCAGGCGCATCAGCTACCATGTGTAAAAACACTTTACAGTAGACCCGCCTATCCATGTAATCTACTCCGAGAGCACGATGATGCACACATACAATAAAGATCGGTTCGTTGTGGGGTAAATATCCATAAAAAGAAGGTGTTAGCGTGCTCGCGTGCAACGCTTAGGGCTATTCGCGTGGGAAGATCGTTTGGATACAGCGGCCATCGTGGCAAACCAGGGCGCCGAGATTTCCTTTCTCGAGATGCTGAAGTGTGACGAAGTTATATTCACCATGTACAGTGCGCCTGAGCAACTAATAACTGACCCCTTCCTAATCACAGATGGCACCATCACACCCCGCCGCTTTTTCCTGAACAGGGTCCGTTCTCGTTTCCTCTGCGGGTAACCCCACAGCGACTACAGGTGCTACATGCGGAGCATCTGTTCGAATGACCCCCCCCCCCCAAAGCCCTCTACCGCGCACATGACACCATCACATCCAAATAACCACTTGCAGTAGATCGCAACAATGACGCTTCATGCACATCGAATTTGCGCCCAAAATTTCAAATTTTAGGAAAAAAATGAAAAAAATATTGGAACAAACTCGTTCCAATAATTTCGGTCCCAGCAAGTTTCCAAACATTGTAAGTTTCCGATTGTTTTCCTCGGGCGCAAGTCGAGGTTCAACGGTCTACGGGTTGAAAGATTGGGAAATTTAGAAGCAAAATCGCTGTGTATTTAACGGCCCTTATATCCTCTGTTGGATAACTCCACAGCGCCTACCGGTGCTACATGCAAAGCACCTGTTCTTGTGACAAAGTTTGTAGGGGCTGACGGTCTTGCTTCCAGTTCTTCGAGGGTAGTGTATGGGCACGGACTTGGTTCGCCATGTACATGGATGCTGAGTGCGTCCGTCCACCTTGCCATGAACAACAAAAAGAGTGTGGTGATAAAAACGAAAACCAAAATAGGGGGAGTCATCAACAGCGTGTTGCTTGGGAACAGAAAATACATCGGTAGGGTAACATTGAACAACTTTACAAGTTTCGCTAGAAAACAGTAGACTATACACTTACGAAGTGGTGTTCTTGCGGCACGGGCAAACCCCGCGCTTACTCAACCAGTTCACATTAGCAGTTGCTAGCGAAATACCCGTCAAACAAGTATCCATTGTTTCTGGATTCTCGAATCAATATTAACTTTCAACACTACTTGTGGAAATCGCTGAAAATTACTCCAGAGGATGAATTGTACACACTGATCTGGTCTGTTCCTCGCTAAATCGAGAACTGGCCCTTCAGAATTCTCTGCGCATGCCAAGAAGGTGTTGCCGCCCACCCAACCTTGTGAGCGAAAACACACTCATACTCGAAGACACACCGACCGTGGTGGGCAATAGTGATGGCTCACAAAAAGCGTCGGGTAACCTTTTTTCATTGCCGTGAACGTCAGTTCCGCGTCACTGGCGCCCGCACGCACACCCGCAAACCTTTGTCCTGTTTCCCGACTTCAACTCCCGCTCGCGCCATACAGACGGTACCAGGAGGAACAAAGGGACTATGGCTTGCACCCAAGACAGAATGGTTGGCTCATGGATCGTCAACTACGACGATGAGGGCCTCCCGTACTGGTAAGCGGCGCGCTGTTCTCGGGTAGGATCAAGACCTCCTCACGCCAAATCTCTGAGACCTTGGCGCGCGCGAACACTGCATCGTGCCATGTTCTCTAGCGTCAACGTTCTGGCGGCACCACACGCACGCTGGTAACAACTACACCGACTTTCTGCGAGAGGTAGCAGAGGTTGTCACAAATTATGTTAGGTTGCCGGGGATCTTGGCAAGGCCAACAAACAAGCAACCGGCACGGGGAAATGACTTTTTTATGCGTGGTCTGCAGAAGAATCCCGCGCGGCTTCCTTGTGCGTGTTGTGTACCACCATCCAGTCCCGGAGGCCGGCAGACGCGAGACACGAAGTGACTTCCAGTTCTGCAGGTCGGCAATTGTTGCCCTTGCCCGACGTAACACGCTCCCGATAACCCTTTGATATGGCGACTTGGTATTGTTGAACATCGGTTAATAGTCGGACATAGCCGTTGCCGTTACAACACGTCGGACGGCGTGGACACAGCAGTCTGTGCGGCGAGAACAGCACGTGCTGTTCCCTTAACAGCTGCATGTGGCGGAACCCTGATCATCATCATGTACCGATGTGTTGATATCGGTTTGTCTGCTGGCGGTGACGGCATCATCTTCAAGAGACACACGAAGCAAGCCAAAAAAATCGTTTGGCCCCCAGCTAACCAAACGCCAAAGACCAGCACGAACGCGACCAACCCCGGTCCTTGCCCATCCTCGCCCCATCTTTGCTAGTGCGCGGACCCTTACCTTCCGCCCCACTAACACCCGCATGCCTAACCCTAATTCACCACCGGACAAAAAACAGGACGAACGACGTGAGCGAGGAGTCGACGTACCGCCTCCTGGTGCAGCAGACGGACCAGCCCGGGATGCCGCTCAAGCACGTGGGCGACGGGGTGAATCCGCCGTGGAGTCTTCCCCTGACCCCGCCTCCGTCCTCTCCTTCCAAGCGGCGCCAGCAGCAGCAGCAGCAGCAGCAGCAGCAGCAGCAGCAGCAGCAGCAACAGTACTACAAGAAGAACACGGGCGGCGGCGGCGGCGCCGGCGGCGGCGGCTTTGTCGGCCGCAAGGGTAAGAAGAACAAGGACTACAAGAAGAACGGCCGGGGCGGCGGCTTCGTCAACGAGGAGGACCGCGGCGGCGGTGGCCGTGGCCGCAGCACCCGCATGGGCTGCTGGGAGGAGCTGTTCGACTCCGTGAGCGGTACTAAGGTCTGGTACAACACCATCACCCACAAGACGACAAGCAAGGACCCGTTCTTCTAATGGGCAGGGGGCACCACGGCAGGCAAAGAGAGGGAGCCGAGAAACGGCATCTGGAAAAGGAGAGAGGGAGAGGCGAAGGAAGAGACAGAAGGGGGGAGCGAGAGAGAGACAAAGACGGAGAGGGAGGAATGTCTTCATTTTTTGCGAAGGGAAGTGCCGAGAGAAGACGCATAGCACGGCAGCTGCTGGGGAAAAGGAGAATGAGAAGAATTGCGGAGCGTACATACCCAGATATGGTGATGTGAACGTGTCATAGGAGAAACAACCCCCGGCGGCCTGGTACAGTAGAACTGTGTGAGGTATCAAGGAGATGGCGACTGGTTGAACAGAGTTGCATACATAACACATGGCCTACCTTGAGCAAGTATGTTCGTGTGGTGTTTTGAAGAAGATGGAGGCAGTACTGGACGATATGGTCATCGCCCCGCACAATCAAAAGCGCAACAACCAAGTGAAGTGAAAAATCAGACACAGGTCTATCTTTGGAAAGAACGAGCCCACAGGTCGCTAGAGCGGATCCCAGCTGGTGTAGATGGATCTTGTTTCTACCTCCACCCTCGCCCCCGCCGCTCCTGTCCTCTGGGCCTTAGAGGTCTGTCACGATGATTGTTTTGACTCCATCAAAATGACCATCCGTGACATGTACAACTAGACAGAGGCGACAGGGCACTACGTATGCCTCCATTGTCGTCGGTAAGTTTTTCGTAATAATAATGCTTGGTATTGCTGTGTCATTCTTGTGTTAAGGAAGTAGTTCAGGTTGCCAAGAGATGATTTTGTCCAGGCTTTGAATCGTCCAGCTGAAGAGAGAGAAGAGGGCGGGAGAGATATAGCGAGGGTGTGAATGTTCTCATAGGCATATTTGTACGGTAGGGGTGGTGCACAGGAGAAGGCCGGGAAAGGGTGCTGGCATTACATCGGCGGTGCTGTCGTGGTATTTTTGTTCTGCTGTCGGCGGCTCGTACTGGTGGTTTGGACCATAACATTATGTTTTCTTAGATGCCCGTTGGTACAATTAAGTTCTTCATTACGTAAGTGCCCGTCTGTCGTTCTCCTCCAACTATCGCTCTGAGCTTTGCTTGTTGGACGGTTGAGCGTGGCGTGTGCTATTGGCCCTGAGGAGAAAGCGTCGCCGCCAGTCAGTGCGGGGAGCAGAAAAAACATCTGTTCAAGAACTCCTCGTAGTATGATATTCTTGTGCTGTGTTTGGGGGCAATGGTTTTCATTCCTCTTTGATTTCGGTGCAAGCAGTCAGAAGTTCAAGGTTCATTGTGGTGGAGTGTCAAGCCTTGTAGGGTGTGATGTTGAGCGCAAAGTTTGTAACCGCGAATGAATGGCGGGCTCTCTTGATTTCTGACGGTCACAATAATGAGCAGCAGGGGCCCCGCAAGAGGGGTCGAGAAAACGGGGGGGGGGTAAAGAGATGGACATCGTGTCGTTGAATTAATGAGACAATACATTCTGGATCAACAGAGGGGTGGCCGCCTTGTGTGTCTGGTGCATGCAGCAGTGCCCGACATCTCGGAACAAACAACAGTTAATATTTTTTCAGCATGGTATAGGGGCAGGGGCAGACAGACGGCTACATACATCCTTTTTCGTCCTAAATTTGAATTTCGTTTTGTTTGTGAACCCCTCGACAAGAAGCTTAGAGTGGTACCGAATATTGATGCCACAGAGAACAAGAACCAATAAATAACCCAGTGATGAAAGTTGTTGCTTCAGCATGAATGAGCGGGCGGGTGCGGGCGCAAACCGCCGCGATGACAGAGGCATACCTGCGTGTCTGCCCATGCGTAGCGCCGTCATCACCAACGTCATCTCGCTCGCCCCCCCCCGCTTTCACTCTTGACCTTGAATTGAAGTGCGACCAATGATAAAGACGTCTCGGACACAAGGAAAAAGCAAGGACAACATCTGCGAACTTATCGGGAAAAAAAACAAACAGGCTTCTGTTTCGGCGCCTCCTGCTACGTGTCACCAACTTACCCCCTCGACCAAACACAACCTCAAAAGGGAGAATGAAACACCATAATCATCACACTTCCCAGCCACTTCACTCGATCGATGCTAGCAACTAAAGAGAAACACAACGTAAACTACCCAAAAACAAAACACGCTTGTACCCTAAGCTACCGTCCGACCAACGCGCAAGCAAGTGTTTCGGAACGTATCGTTCCACAGCCCAGTCACCTTTTCCCGACATCTTCCGCCTGCTTCTGCTCGTCTGCACATATGCATGAGAGCGCGTCATGCCTCAACCCAAAATCCACGCAACATACAGCGTCGCCATGGTCACGACATCAAGAAAGAAACGGTGATCTTCCCGAAACACGAGTGTGAACTGCAAGGGAACTCCCCGACACGTGAAACCCAGACTTGAAAACCAACCTACAAAACAGAGGACTTGGAGGAAATCAGGGACAAATGACAAAAAAAAGAAAACAGAAAATTAGGCTGAGTGAAATATTTCACCATATTTGGGAAGACTATACAGTACCCGACACCGGGCGAAAAACATGTAAGGGTTGGAGGAAAAACGGGGAAAACGAGACGGCCTGTCGACGTGAAACGAAAATCCATGAAGAGTGAACATTGAATCTGCCATGCCCCCCCCTCCCCCCGCACAATGCTCCGTCCTCTCGAGGACAGATGGTCAACGGTCTTACCACTAGGGCGCGCAAAACATGAGCCCCTGCAACAACAATGCTCCGTCCTCTCGAGGACGCGTGGTCAATGGTCTAACTGTCAAGGCATGCAGAACATGAATGCCCCCCCCCCCCCCCCCCCCC